GCAGCCCCTTTTGCCTACTTCTATCGGACACTTTATTTGCTGCTTTATAAAAGTTTGATCAAATGTCAGCAGGAAGAGCTGTCACAGCATACGCCATGTTGATACCAGAGCCCAGATGAAGTTTGTTTGACGGACGTAGCAACAGTAACTAAGGGGGGCGGGGCTTAGCCAAAGGAGAGCGACCGCAAAAATGGAAGTTCAAAGACAATATTCTAAAGATGGCGGCGCCCTCGTTTCTCTGGTGCAGGTCTATAGAGCCCAGCGAACCACGTCATTACGTCACTGTGTACGTCGCCATACGTCTCAGCTCGACATAACGTGGTAAAAGAACGGTTCTAGTCCAGCAAAGAGTTGGTGCCGCTTTGGAAACAATTTTCCTGGTCCAGAACCGGTCCTTTGGCTGTCGAAACACAAAGAACTGGTTCGCGAGTAGGCACCGGCTCCAAACCGGCTCTCAAAATGCTTTGGTGGAAAAGGGGTAACTGAAAAGTTCTTTGGGGAACCAATGGCATCGCTGCGAAAATAAAACCCTTTTGGAACCTTTACTTTTACAAAAATGTGGTTTGTAAAAAAAAAATATTTTAAACTGACATTGACCCCAACAGACACCAAGGTATAAGAGTCTTACCTTTTTTTTATTAAAATACAGAGGGACCTTCCTGAAAAAAAAAAGATCTGGCACATTTTATATTATCTATAATAAAAAATACGCATTCATTTGAATTTAATTTGCACAAGGTTTGATTCATTTGTCTATTCATGTTTTTGTGCACTTCAACTCTTATCTTAAAGGATTAGTGTTCATAGATATCACTTAAAAAATACCTTTTGCAAAGCAACCCAAGGTAAACTGCCATCTGTATAGCATATAGATCATGTCAAACTTCATAACTTCAAACCATGATCCGACTTGTCCTTTGACACAGTAAACCTGCTTTTCATTGTACTGATGGTGAATAAACTGTGATTCTGACAGGAAAATTGCAATAAATTATGACTTTGCTTTGCTTCGGTGGGGAGAATTGCACGGAAACGTGATTCGAGAAGTGTATGGGTTAGAAGATGATTCCTGAAGATAAACGTTGGATAATTGTGGTGGATTTTTGTAGACAGAACGTGCCTCTGGTGAAGGGCTAGCCTGTCACTCAAAAAAAGACAACGTTCCTGGTTGTCCCTCCTTGTGGTCGACGTTCCAGTGGTCTCTGCGCTCATTAGGATATTCCTAATGATTGATGATCTATTTTATGTCTCCGGATGTTGTGTAGAATACATTCAAAGTCACAAGCCACTTCTGGAAGTCATGCTCCAGCCAACAAATGAGACATTTTCATTTAATTTAATGTAATTCACACACACACACAAAAAAAGAGAGAATGTTGTACATTCAAAAATGACAGATTACAGTGATGTCATTGAAATATATGCATTTCTTACATATATTTGCATATAATTTGCCGAGTTGATTCTCGTTAAACTACTGTTATGCAGAAAACATAAGCGTGCAATGGTACATTTTCAGGCAGCTCTGAATAACAGATTACTCTTTCCTTCAGGAAATGCAAATATAGTTTATTTAGCTCTGTTCATAACCCGTTTTGCACGACCGATCTCTACATGCCGGATATTTCTGAGAGACTGGAGCTGTCAAAAAGCAAGTCACTGATGAATCTTGGCACAGATGAGGCGGTTGACAGAGGTTTTCATGGCCCATGGACATCCATGACCGAATCAGTCAAAATGGTTATTTAGCTGGAGCCAGCAATCTGGGAAAAAAGTAGGAGGTTGGTGAGGGTCCAAAAACAACATCGCTTACACTGTCTTTTGGTTTAGATGAGCACTCGGTGCAAAAGCTTGAGAATGAGAGAGAGCTTTCGGTTTTAGAGAGGCTGTAAAGGGTTTGTTGAGATTTATTATAGGGCACCAGACATATTTGTCCTTTTCAGACTAAAACACTGGAAAGATTTGATTGGTTTACCTTATTTTAGCAGCCATTTATAACTCTGAAACTTTACTGTAAATGCCTGACACCTGGACGCTCTTGCCACTGAGAGTTTTTCTTTTTTCTTTTCCATTGTACATAATTTAAACAACCATGAAAAGTTAACGAATGGCAAATTATTATATATTCCACAATATTATTCAACCTTTCAGTTGAGTTTGCAAACAATTTTCTGCCCCTGTAAGATGGATTATTGTGGCTGTACAATGTTTAGAATCACACAGATTTATCATTATAAAGACTTTATGATTTTTTGCTCTGTTCAGGTGAATTAAGGGTCAAACTCTGCATCTAAAGTCCTGTTTTTATCTTGAGTGAAGGCGTGCAGACAGAAATTAATGTGGCGTTGTAAGATGTTGCATATAATCACAAACCTTTTTGCTCCATCATTCATTATAGGGCAAAGTTGAGAACAAACTGAGGTTCATGTAAAGCCCAGTGTGAAAAGAAATCCCTAACTGTGCTGAACAGTTCAGCTGGAAGTATTTTAATGGCTTGTCACCACCTCTTTCACAGGCCTATAGCACTGTGAGCAACCCAACTGTTAGAATCCAAAGAAGAGGTTACATTTACAATTACATTCCAGAATGAGTGGATGTCCCACGTTATCTGTCCTCTTCACAAAATCAAAGAAATGCGGTGCATTTTACAAGCATTTATGATGTACTTTACTAACTTTGTGACTACTTAAAGGCAGGGTAGGTGATTTATTTTCAGAAACATCTTTTTGTTACGCTGGTTGAAAGTCTCTTCACATCCTGATAGCAATCACTAAGTTAAGTGGTCTAAATGTATATATACATATATATATATATATATATTAGGGGTGTAACGATACACGTATTCGTATTAAACCGTTCGGTACGAGGCTTTCGGTTCGGTTTTCGGTACGCATTTTTGAACCGAACGGTTCGTTGGACCATTTTTCCTGCAGACCAAAATTTCGTTACTTCAAATGTAGGCACGTGGCGCGTGGCAAGCGCGCTCATAGAGACGCTGGCGTGACCACAACATTGCCCAACATCAAATGGCAAATGTAATGTAAGCGGAACGAAACCACTCGTTATTGTGTGTTTGACGGACCGTTTATCAGTTTGGACCAATGCAGCGCGAGCGAGCGCGAGCCGATCTTGATCATCAGCACTGTCACTACACAGAGGAATCCAGAAAAGAAAGCATTTGAATTCGCCACTGAAGTAATAGCATCGCTGCGAGATCTAGTGAGAAGCATTCACATTTCTCCGTTATTAACGGATCAAACAGCGCTGACGTGGAAACCAGGAAGAAACATTGCGCCATGAATGAACTATCCAGTGTCCACAGATCAGCAACATTCACCATGGGTTTACTGTAGTAACACTACTAACTGTAACCATGGACGTTTGGCAGGAATAGTAGGCTATAATGCTTTCAAGTAACATTACGTCAGTTTTATTTTGACATTATGAATACAATTGCTGCCCTCAAATGTTAATCTGAACTAAAATAAACCTTTGTTTATAACTACTACAACATTACATTTCATTTTGTCCAAGTAGCTGTTTTGTTTTATATGCTCCTAAGAAAAGTCAAGTATAGCTCCATCATTGCTCAAAGTAAAAAAATATCATACTTTATGATGTTAGTTTTAATAAAAATATAATTCAAAAAATTAAATCAAGGAAATTTCTCTGGCATTTCTTTCTTTTTGCTGTATCGGAAACCGTGACACAAGTGTATCGTATCGAACCGAACCGTGAATTTTGTGAACCGTTACACCCCTAATATATATATATATCCCATGATATTATACTCAGAGCGGTCGAATTTATTCATTTCAATGGCAACACTATCAACGCTGAAATGAACCTGCAGCAGTCAGGTGGTACAGGTCAGAGCTCTTTAAGCAGTTTATGTTCATTAATATTGTAATTTTATGTGCTTTGAGACATGAGGTAGTTTAACACCGTAGCTCGTCTCGTGACGCTTTGCAGACTCTGCTCTTCATGTGTTTTGGAGGAGGCGTGGCTTTGGAGACGCTCTGCAGGGAGGGTGGGATATCGTTTCAAAGCCAACTTGCTATTGCTCGCCGCTCCGAAAAATAATTGCCTACCCTACCTTTAATTCTTTGTGATGCAAAATTATTTTATCTTCTCAAGAGAACATTTGTTTTTTGGTGAATTTGTTCATAAATGCCACATCCTAGGCTTTTTCTGAGATTTCTGACATTTGCAAAGGTCATCAACATCGTCATTAAAACAATAAATGGAAAGAGGAACAGTATTTTTTTTTACAGCTATTAATTGGTTTTCTTTTCCTCATTAAAAAGTTTGTACATTTTGTACAAAGTTTGTACAAATGTTTTTTTTATGTTCCTCATTAACATCAGTAAACTTTCAAAGCAGAGTATGATTTTCTTTTACATGACTTCTTGATGTAGCCTACTTTACTGTAAAATAAATGAATAAATAATAGACTATTTGTTTTTGTCACCATATGCTCTAACAACGTGCGCAATATAGTGCATAAAAAGTCTTTGTTATGACTATTTTCAGCATTGTTGAATCAAAACTTTGAAATAACCTACTGTAAGTATGGGAATTATAATGCCAAGGGAAAGACAAAATAAAACCTCTTAGAAAGCTAAACTGTCTAATTCTTTGTTGGCTGCTTGTCCGTCACTATACGAAATATAAGACACGTTTTACATTTTAAAGGTATAGCTACAATTTATATCTGTCTTTAAAATAACGCTTCATTTAAAAAGAAAAATGTTTAAATCCCATAAATTGCAAAAAGTGCAATACATTGAGAGAGGATCGTGGTGTGAAACAGCATGAGCTGTAGAGGTGTGTGTGTGTGTGTGTGTGTGAACTGCATCGCTTCAGAAAGATGCTTTAGCTTCTCGTTGGCTGCACGTCATCATCTGTCATCATCGCCTCAGAAGTAAGAAACAAGTGTATGAGCGCGAGACATCATCATCATCATCATCCTCCACCGACTCGATCAGTCCTTCTCACGCCGAGCTTTCCATCAGTCTTCCACTTTCGTCTAGTTTACTCGATTATAAAAGGATCAGTTGTGAATATGGCATCAGTTTGTGCGGTGGTGGCTCACATTTTTCTCTGTCTAAACATCGTCAAAGTTTGCTCAGTGAACTCGTCAGAGCTGACCGGAGATATCCCTGCAACAGAACCGTCATTCCACAATCCTGCTCGAGACATGATGACTGTTAATATGTACAGAGTTTATGATAAATACAGCAAGAAGCATCATCATCAACATCGACAGAACGCCAATACAATCCGAAGCTTTAGAGGAGTCCAAGGTGAGTGAAACTAACTACTAAAAAACGATTTAAAATACAGCAATGCATGTTTATAGTTCATATTTCATATCACGCTGTGTTTGTGCTTAAAAAATTTTTATGTAGGCTATTTTTAACTGTCATGATTTTTTAAATGATATTTAATATATTTTCAAAAATGCAATATGCCTAAAAATACAAGACATTACATATAAATAATTCATCAAATACAATATAATTTTGTTTTATGCATTCATTAAGTGTTTACGCTTTAGTTTAGGGTCCAGTTCTCATTATTAACTTCTTGCTTATTAGCATGCTTATTAGGATATTGGCTGTTTATTAGTAGGCTACTTATAAAGCACATATTAATGGCTTATTCTGCACGACCATATTCTACATCCCTTAATTACCTAAATTTAACAACTCCCTTATTAACTATTAAGAAACAGTAATTAGAAGTTTGAGGCAAAAGTCGTAGTTAATAATTAATTGTGAGAATTGGACCTTAAACTATCCACCTTATTCTTCGCCCGTTCTATTTCCCATGATTCATAGCGGGTTCAACTGACTAAACGGTTTTCTACTTCCGGTTGAAGTGTTTGTTTACATAGAATGCTAGCACTCGCGTAAAGGCTGCGGTGATAGATTGTAGTTATTAAAGTATAAGATAATTATTCTGTCAAGATGGGAAGTAGTCGGTGGCTACACACCGCTGATGAAATCACAAAAGATCGTGAAGGCGACCGTATCAGAGTGCTACATCCCTCAAAATTGACAGGTTGGGTGGATGACATGAAGCTTTGGCCAGGAGTTAGCCATATTGACATTATTAATTATTTATTTTTTTCGGAGGGTGTAGATCATGAGGAGATGCGCAATTACAAAAGCACAGAGGCCTTCAATTACTTCTTTAGTAATAAAGTCGGGCGCATTTCCTTACTGAAGCACGGAGACTATTTATTTTTGAAAGCAGAGGTAGACAGAAGTCAAAGTGCTAATCAGCCTAAGCTTATTGCTTGGGTTATGCTGCAGCAGTCGGGGGTGATAGAGACTGCCGGATGTTCATGTATTGCTGGATTAGGGCGATCGTGCAGTCATGCATCAGCTATCCTTTGGAAGGTATGAAGAAAAGAAAAAAGTTCATTTTGTTTTTATCTGTGATTTAATAAAAAATAACTTGATCAGATCACATTTGATGCATGTTTTTTTCGATTTAGTTTAGCGATGTGGGGATGACACAATCTGAAACACATGGCAAAAGCATATAGAGCAGATTCTGGTAACGTTTTAGGTGAATGTGCTCATGACAGGTTGAGAATGCAGTTACTACCGGGAAGACAGGGCTTGCATGTACAGATGAGCAGCGCAGGTGGAATGCAGGGACAGTCAGGAACCTTGAGCCAAAACGACTGAGGGACATAAATTTCAGCCACCACAGGGCAGGAGATGAATTTAGCATTAGTGTGTCAGGTGCTCAGCCATTACCAAACACCCCACAATATATGTCACAAGCAGAATTGATAAATAATGTAGACAAAGACCCAACAAAGCCACTTTTCTTGTTAAAAAACAGTCTATTGGGCAAGTGTTACAGTGTAAAACCAGTAGAGCAACCTTGTAGCCTTGCAAATACTGCAGTAGATGCAAGATTTTTAAGACCCCATCAAACACATGCTGGTTCTGATCTCACATGTGAGACATGTAAAAGTTTCTATGAGTTGTATGTTCAAGTGAGCTGTGCACAGGCTTCTACTTTAGAATCTGAAACAAGGGAGCAGAGTTCTTCCGATTTGTGGCACAATGCAAGAAAATTGAGAATAACTGCAAGTTCAGCTAAAAAGGTTCCTTCTAGAGCATCCACCAATCCTGATAAGTTTATGGCAGAGCACCTGTACCCCTCCTTTCGTGGCAACTATGCCACAAACTATGGTAAGGAGAATGAGGTGGTTGCTGGTAATGCACTTCGAGAGCAAGGCATGAGTATTACACACAGGGGCATCGTTGTTAGTGTCACAGAGCCATGGTTGTCAGCCAGCCCAGATGGGGTAATTGACTCATCTGTCCTACTCGAAATAAAATGTCCCGTCCCAAGTAAACTCCATTCTACCCTCTTGGATCAACTTGACCATAACTGCAGTGACATCAAGCTAGTAGATGGAGTACCACAACTTCAGAAAACCGGTAGTCGAGGATATTACATGCAGATACAATTAGGCATGTTTTGTGCCGGTCTGAAGATGGCCAAATTGTTTATCTGGAGCCCAATTGACACAGTTATGTTCACTGTACCATTTGATGAGCCCTATGTTCTGGAGAGGGTAGGACATCTGAAGAGATTTTATTTCTCAACAATGTTGCCCCAGCTTGTGGATGAATTTGTTGGTCAGCGACTGAAACTGCAGAACAGATACATGAGCATAATGAATTAATAGAAAATATCCCTCAGAAACATTTAGTTCAAATCACAAAACAACTGTTAGGTGCTGCTGCTGTTAACAGTATGAAAACTAATTTTTTTACCCAAACAATTTTATACATGTAAAAATGCTGAGCATAAGTATTGTTGTACATAAGTGAATATTTATGAATACATAATGTTGTTCATGTAAAATTGTATGCAAATCTGATAAAATCTATTGTACACAAACTCAAATAATAACAACAAATTTCTTACAGATTCAGATTATTTTATTTAATGCCATATCAGCATTCAAAGCTATTTTCATGACAAATTCAATTACAAAAATACAAATATCATATATATATATATATATATATATAAAAAAAATATAAAAAAAACAGTAATTCATATTATACAAGATTTTTTGAATTAACATGACTATCCAAAACCATTTCAGGCTAAATTTCATACAAAGAGTAAATATAAACAGTCAAAAATTAAAAAAGGCAGCGAGTGTCAATATGAAATATACAGGAGCAATTTATGTAGATGTGTAAAGTGTGTGTGTGTGTGTGTGTGCAGATGAAACTACAACCTCAGAACATCACTGTTTTCACTTATTACTCACAGATGAGATCACCCCTTAAGTTTGCGAGGGCCGCACAGATTCTGAGGATTTTTTCAATTTTGGGGGTCATGTTTATTGGTATTACTTGAGACAAGATCTTGTATACTTTAAGTCGTCTGATTGCTCTCTCAACATGAATCCGAACATTTGCAATCCTGCGAGATGCTGTGACTTGTTCCTCAGTTAGCTGGGCACCCCCTCTAGTGAAAGCAGGCAGAACCAATTTGACCCTTTTTTCAAACAGCAAATCACGAACCAAGAACCCACGATCTGCCATGACTTCGTCTCCAGGCTTTAAATAGTCCAAGATACCAGAGTTCATAGTGATATATTTGTCACTGGCACGTCCTCCATATCCAGTTGAGATAAACATGATTAAGCCACATGGGGCAACAGCAACAAGGTATTTGATTGTGTTGTGCGAGTAGTAATGGCTGTAGGACTCCCCTCTAGAGTCAAGATTTTTCGCCTTCTGTAATAAACTTTCGCTGCAGTCAATGACACAGGTAGTGTTGGGAAAAAACTTCTTGAATGCAGTTGGCATAGTGGCCTTAATGGTTTCTTTTGGGAGCCAGATAATAAGAGGGCGCAAGACCTCCTCCATTTTATCAATCCAGAAGGAGATAACCTTACTGGCAACACTCTGAGACACATGAAACTGCCTACCAAGGTCACCCAGCACACGATTTAATTTCAATTTTATCAGTGTCATTAGTATCTGATCACGCACTGACAAAACAAAAGCCCTTTCAGCAAATCCATCTAAGGTGGAAACAAGAGAGTTGAAGGTTTCCAGTGAGACTCCAGTGTAGAGGAATGAATCGGCATCACTCTGAAGCATGGAGTAGCTGAAATCTTCAGTTTGTGTTGTGGCATCTTTGGCTGTCTCATCAGCACCCTGCTGTTCACCATAGTTGTGGTCCCAAAGCAATGGATCTTCCCACTGGGTGGAAATAGTGCTGTATGATACTTGTGGCACTTCAGGTATGCCCTCATCCTCCTGGTCTGTCACTTCTGCTGTTGCTGTAAAAAAAAAGAGCACATAGGCTACATGTTAAACTCTTTCTGTCCATGTTTCTCACACTGACAACATTATAGTAAAAGCTTATGATAAATGGTGATGGAAGCTCTTCCTCGCTCAGGCTAACAACTACCTAGCCCACATAAAGATAGCACTCATATAGCATTAAACCTACAGTAACATTCGGTGGACAAAGGCATAAACCATTAATGGCCATGTTTTTAACATATTTACTCATAAATGGCATATTGTTAAAAAAAAAAACTGTAGGTTAGACTGCCCACAGATAACAAGAATATTTCAGGCCGGTGGAGCTCGTAAAAATGTAAACACATTATGGGCATATAATGGGCATATTATTACATAATGGGCATAGTGTTACATAAAATTATTACATATTATCCACATAATGGGCATATTATTCATAAAATGTAGGTTAGACTGCCCACAGATGACACGAATATTTCAGGCTGGGGCATATTGATTGTAAAAATATAGGTTAGGCTGCCCACAGATAAAATAAATATTTTGTAAAATGTAAACAACCGGAGGTAGCTAACGTTAACTCAACAGAATTCAACATTAAAAGTGGCTTACCTGTCGCTTCGACACGAACAATTGCACGTCTCTTCTTCACCACTGGTCTGTCATATCCAAGGTATAATTCCGGGTTGGGATGGTCATCCGTGGGGCGTTTGTCAACAAAATGATGCGAGCAGACGTACACCTTTTTCGGTGGATGTTTCAGTTTTAGCGCAGCTAACCACTCTAAATGTCTACACTCTGGCATTGAATGTAGCTGATACGGAACCGGACACGGACATTCTCTCCTTCTTATCTTATGCTCGAAGCACTCAGTTTCTAAAAAGTTTTGTATCTTCTTTGAATTGTTAAAACAACCAACAACAGCACATGTGGAACCTGAACTCATTCTCTCTCTGCTAGTAACTTACCGGTCGATCGCTACGAACCGGAAGTTGACAACCGGAGTCGTCGTCATGGCAGCGCGCATTGTTTAGAGCAGAATAAGGTGGATAGTGTGGCCAGTGTTAAGTATAGTATTTTATTTGTTGGAAACCCTTCAGGAAATACAAGGGGAAAAAAGACCCATAACCCATCTTTTGAATATTCATTACATAAATAAAAAATATGCACATGCACCTGGATTAAAATGAATTAGGCTATATATGATAAGCATATGTGAAATCATGCACAGATAGCATTTTCCCCATTATTTCAGTGTTTCAGAGCTGCTAAGTTTCCACTGGAGGTGCGCTATTAAAACACAGAGAGGGTATTAGTGGAAACAGAAAAAAGAAAGAAAGAAACCTTGAGAGCGGCTCACTAAACACTACCATATGGCCAGAGACCGATTCAGGAGCCGTGTTTATCTTTTTATTAAACTACCTCGTAAACCATAGAATGTGGTCGGATGTTAAATCTAAAATGTGAAAAATGTGTTGTTTATGAGGATGTTGTCTGGAAACTTTACTGGTCAATCACATGCATGCATGAGCGTAAAACCCGCGCTAAATCGACGAGCAGCAATTAATGACTTGTGACGTTTTCAAATGCCTTATTTCAGAGCTGTCCCACCACAAAGTTGTTTTCCGCTTCAACCTGACCTCCATCCCCGATTCAGAGACGATACTGACGTCAACTCTGCACTTTCTTGACCAGCAAGTTCGTCAGCGGCCTTGGGCCTGCCGTCGTTCCCGCGGATCCGCATGCCGTCTCCAGTACCTTCAGTCACTCACCACAACACGTCTCATCATTAGAGGAACATCACCAAACGCTGCCATCCCCTCTCAGCTGTGCAACATCACACTGTCCCCTAGCAGAAAGGGGCTTTGGCAGATTACAGACGTATCATCAGCCATCAAACAAGCCCATGTGAACGGCGAACTATCGATTGCCGTTGAGTTTGACTTCGGTCCCCACAGACGTCATGATCGTTTGCCTCCTCACAGTCTGCCGTTCATTCTTGTATACGCTGATGACGTTGCCATAACTGAACCAAACAGCATTGCTATGAGTTTGCAGAGATACAGTCCGTCTACTGTGGTTGATGAGACCAGGACCAAAGCGTCCACAGCTTCTTTAAGCTCTAGAATCAGAAGGGAACTGGATCACTTGGAGAATAACTACCTTCCTGACGTCCAGTACAACGACCTGAAGAGCAGGGAGTTCTGGGACAGCGGCTTTTTTGCGAAAAAGCCCAAACCATTGTCAAAAGGCCAGGGCTATCACGAGGGATCGAGAGGGTCGCAGGAGCTCACCTTTGACGAGAAGACCATGAAAAAAGCGAGACGCAAGCAGTGGAGTGAACCGCGAGTGTGTGCGCGCCGGTACCTGAGGGTGGACTTCGCAGACATCGGTTGGAGCGAATGGATATTAGCGCCGAAAGCATTTGATGCCTACTATTGTGCAGGAACCTGTGGATTCCCGATTCCAAAGGTAAGGGAATAAAAGTTTATGTTCTATATTTCAGTTAGTTTTGTTTATAATGACCGCCTGAACGCACACTGCCCGGCCTTGAAAAAAGTCGCTGTTTGGATTTAAATAGGATCATTATTACAGTTAGGGATGCACGATATATCGGCCACCATATCGATATCATATGTTCATTTTTAATGTTTTCATTATCGGCCAAATAAAAAAATTTGGTCGAAATATTAAATCCGATTAGTAATGGATTATTTCCTTCAGCTGAGACACTTCAGATGTGCACTGTTCACCATGATGGTTTTGAATTGCTTGAAATATGATTGGAATCACTTCAAAAAAGGAAAATATAAGCTATTTAAGTGCAACACAAGTCTGTCATATAGGCTACATAAAATTATAGTTAGAACATTATTATAATTGTGTGTTTGGGACATGGATTTTAATGGTGAGACTTTTGTTTTTGTAATCAGGCTCTCAACAATTATATAAAATTTTGGATTTAGATTTATCGGCCAATATATCGGTTATCGACATTAAAATGTAAAGAATTATCGGTTATCGTATCGGCCAAAATCTTAATATCAGTGCTTCCCTAATTACAGTGATTATTATGTTTCTAGCATGTTATATGTTTGTACCAGTTCTTCTAACCCTAATTGATGGAGTGTGTAACTTTTAATTTCTTAAACACCCATGTAGGAAGACACATCATGGCCATATTCCAGGATGACAATGTCAAGATTCATCAGGCTCAGATTGTGAAGGAATGGTTGTGAGGGAGCATGAAGAATCATTTTCACACATGAATTGGCAATAAATGTTGTGATGTTATTTCCATCAATGTTTGCTCAAGATCTTGTATTGAGTCCAGCACTCTGTAAAGTCTCCTCCAGCACATCTAAAAACTTTCAATGAGTTTTTAAGGTCTGGACTCAGAGGTGCCAATTCATGTGTGAAAATGATTCTTCATGCTCCCTCACAACCATTCCTTCACAATTTGAGCCTTATGAATCTTGACATTGTCATCCTGGAATATGGCCATGATGTGTCTTCCTACATGGGTGTTTAAGAAATAAAAAGCTACACACTCCATCAATTAGGGTTAGAAGAACTGTTGGCAAACATATAACATGCAAGAAACATAATAAACACTGCAATAATGATCCAATCATAGGCCTATTTAAATCCAAACAGCAACTTTCTTTGGCTGGGCAGTGTACATTATCTCATTATTGCACGGCAGCTCAACAAAATAAAATTAATATGTGGACATGAAAGATTAATTTGAATATTGAGCTGAAATCGTTTTAGAATTTTACCAGTTTAATAAGCCCTATCTTACAGTCCATTACAATGTGCAGAACAATTGGTCTAATTCTGACACAAAAAAAAGACTTAACGGGATACTCCACTTTTTTTTGGAAATAGGCTCATTTTACAACTCCCCCAGAGTTAAACTGTTGAGTTTCACCGTTTTTGAATCCATTCAGCCGATCTCCGGTTCTGGCGGTACCACTTTTAGCATAGCTTAGCATACATCATTGAAGTGGACAAGACCATTAGCATTTCTCAAAAAAAAATGACCAAAGAGTTTCGATATTCTTCCTATTTAAAACTTGACTCTTCTGTAGTTACATCGTGCACTAAGACCGACGGAAAATGTAAAGTTGCGATTTTCTAGGCTGATATGGCTAGGAACTATACTCTCATTCCTGCGTAATAATCAAGAAACTTCACTGCCGTACCATGAGTGCAGCAGGCGTAATGATATGACGCATCATTACGCAGGCTCTCAACAATTATATACAATTTTGGATTTAGATTTATCGGCCAATATATCGGTTATCGACATTAAAATGTAAAGAATTATCGGTTATCGTATCGGCCAAAATCTTAATATCAGTGCTTCCCTAATTACAGTGATTATTATGTTTCTAGCATGTTATATGTTTGTACCAGTTCTTCTAACCCTAATTGATGGAGTGTGTAACTTTTAATTTCTTAAACACCCATGTAGGAAGACACATCATGGCCATATTCCAGGATGACAATGTCAAGATTCATCAGGCTCAGATTGTGAAGGAATGGTTGTGAGGGAGCATGAAGAATCATTTTCACACATGAATTGGCAATAAATGTTGTGATGTTATTTCCATCAATGTTTGCTCAAGATCTTGTATTGAGTCCAGCACTCTGTAAAGTCTCCTCCAGCACATCTAAAAACTTTCAATGAGTTTTTAAGGTCTGGACTCAGAGGTGCCAATTCATGTGTGAAAATGATTCTTCATGCTCCCTCACAACCATTCCTTCACAATTTGAGCCTTATGAATCTTGACATTGTCATCCTGGAATATGGCCATGATGTGTCTTCCTACATGGGTGTTTAAGAAATAAAAAGCTACACACTCCATCAATTAGGGTTAGAAGAACTGTTGGCAAACATATAACATGCAAGAAACATAATAAACACTGCAATAATGATCCAATCATAGGCCTATTTAAATCCAAACAGCAACTTTCTTTGGCTGGGCAGTGTACATTATCTCATTATTGCACGGCAGCTCAACAAAATAAAATTAATATGTGGACATGAAAGATTAATTTGAATATTGAGCTGAAATCGTTTTAGAATTTTACCAGTTTAATAAGCCCTATCTTACAGTCCATTACAATGTGCAGAACAATTGGTCTAATTCTGACACAAAAAAAAGACTTAACGGGATACTCCACTTTTTTTTGGAAATAGGCTCATTTTACAACTCCCCCAGAGTTAAACTGTTGAGTTTCACCGTTTTTGAATCCATTCAGCCGATCTCCGGTTCTGGCGGTACCACTTTTAGCATAGCTTAGCATACATCATTGAAGTGGACAAGACCATTAGCATTTCTCAAAAAAAAATGACCAAAGAGTTTCGATATTCTTCCTATTTAAAACTTGACTCTTCTGTAGTTACATCGTGCACTAAGACCGACGGAAAATGTAAAGTTGCGATTTTCTAGGCTGATATGGCTAGGAACTATACTCTCATTCCTGCGTAATAATCAAGAAACTTCACTGCCGTACCATGAGTGCAGCAGGCGTAATGATATGACGCATCATTACGCAGGAATTATTACGCAGGAATGAGAGTATAGTTCCTAGCCATATCAGCCTAGAAAATCGCAACTTTACATTTTCCGTCGGTCTTAGTGCACGATGTAACTACAGAAGAGTCAAGTTTTAAATAGGAAAAATATCGAAACACTTTGGTCTTTTTTTTGTTGAGAAATGCTAATGGTCTTGTCCACTTCAATGATGTATGCTAAGCTATGCTAAAAGTGGTACCGCCAGAACCGGAGATCGGCTGAATGGATTCAAAAATGGTAAAACTCAACAGTTTAACTCTGGGGGAGTTGTAAAATGAGCCTATTTCCAAAAAATGTGGAATATCCCTTTAAAGTCGGCATGAAATGAAGGTTGTGATTGTCTTTTCTGACGAATATCTGAATAGAAAGACTTCTTGAACAAGAACAAATGTGGGCGGGGCTTGCTTTCGTCCGTGGGGAATTGATTGGATGGTTGTGGTTTGCTATTGGTGGATCTCATGTGAGTGACAGGTTGCCCCGCCCTCGTCATCAGAGAAGAGAAGAGATGCTGCAAGAGGGAGGGGAAGTTATTCCGATTCAAGAAATAATGATGTGCACTGATAAGTCATTTATAATAAATACTGCAATATTCCATAAAAAAAAATTGTCCACTTTGATGTCATGGTGACTTTAAAAATAAGGTGGGTGGATAGGACTAAGAAATGCATTTGGGCATTGTCACGTTAACCTTGTTAAAAGACAGTCGTTTTCTCCAACTTTTACTTCTCTTAATGCAGGTTGTTCATCCCTCCAATCATGCGACCATCCAGAGTATAGTGCGAGCCGTGGGGATCGTGCCTGGCGTCCCAGAGCCGTGCTGCGTTCCCGACACGATGAGCTCTCTGGCTGTGCTGTTCCTGGACTCCAGCAGGAACATGCTAGTGAAGGTCTATCCCAGCATGTCTGTGGAGACCTGTGCCTGTCGGTAAGGAGAGCAAGCTCAATAATGGACATATAGATAAATACAACCTGCAAAACAATGAACTCAGCTCAAGGGACTGCCGAAAATGAACTTTATATCTCTGCAAATAAGACCTCGACACCTCAAACAGGCTAATATTGGATCTTTGCACACAAACATTGTATCCTCTTTCCACTCTCTTTTTTTTTTTTTTACGAATTGTATATAATCCTTATTGTAACATATAGTAAGCCAAGCTGTTTTTGTTTTGAAACAAGTACAAAGCAAATTTAAAAGAACCTAGTGATTTAAACGGATTTACACTTTATTTTAAGGATGACGTAGCTACTTGTAATTATGCATAATTTACTGTATTTACTATAGTAAGTGCATGTAGTATCGTGTAACTACATCATAAGTACATGTAGTTAATTAATATCACTCATTACTTATTTAAGTAAGTACAATGTAATTGCATCACCTTAAAATAAAGTGTAACCAAATCCGGTAACTTTACGTAAGGTGTCATTTTTTAACATTAGTTTTAATGCATTAGTTAATATGAACTGACTATGAGCAATATATGTTTACAGCATTTGTTAGCCTTTGTTAATATAAAATTCATTTCGTTTATGTTATTCATTAATGTTTTATTTTTAAAAATCTATTAATAAATGTATTATTTTATCATTGATTATGAGATGCTGTAGATAGAAGTATTGTTCATTTTTAGTTCGAGTTAACTAATGTTAACAAATGAAATCATATTGTAAAGTGTTGCTATAAATCCTTATAAGCGTTTTATTTGATTTATTAGATAAAGTGTAACCTATAGGATCTAAACACCTGGATCTTGCATGAAAAGAAAACTGCTGATGATTTTTGGTCATTTGTGAGGAGACGGACGAATGAAGAAAGTGCAGCGTAATGCTGCCATCTAGTGCTTCGTGATTTGGCATAATATTGTTTTTCCCCCTATAAGGACGGACCCCATAAGTTAGAACAGATGGATTGATTAGCCATAGCTATAGAAAAGTCATAAGATTATGGATTTTAAAATAAAATAATAACATCTAAGAGGTTTTGTGAAACTTTATCAAAGGAGAGTTTTGTATTTTTATAGCAATATCATGTCATTTATAATTATTTATTTTTTTTCAAACTGTACTGTATCGACTTTTTATGCAAACATTTCTTAAACCAGATTCTCCAGTGCTCTTCTGGTGTATAAACTGGTATGTTTTTTTTTTTTTAACTGAAATCCTGGAGGAATTTTTGTGAATAAAGACCTAATGAGTTGTATTAGGAACATAGATTGTTTGCAACAAAGGGGCAAAGGTCAACTCAGACCCATTAACTCTTTTACACGGCCAGATTCCAGCCGAATGAAAAGGAATCCAAATGAAAGGAATCTATAATGTTAATATTTATCATAGCCGAAGCTGATTAGTTGAAGCATCTTACATGTGCAGACACAAACACATTCAGAAGTGATGGAGATGCTTTGGTAAAAACAGCCAGAAGTAAGTCTGACCCTGTAAATAAGGGTTTGTCAAAATCACTCTCATTAGTTTTCAAAGTCTGTTCCCAGAGTGTTTACAGAGCCCTCATTAACTACAAGCTTCCTCAAGATAACAAAGCTCAAACCACGACTTTGGTGTCAAAGATAAGAATAGCTATGCTACTATTTTGGTTTCTGCTTAGCGTGGGACGTGGGAGTGAACCCGAGGTTCACTTGAGGAACCCCGATTTCAAAGGATCTTCCACAAACCAAAGTCAGATGTAAAACTTGCCGCAGACAGCCACCTATCCGCTTCGGGAACCAAACGAAAGATGCGGGGTTTACGATATCTGCTTCTTCTGATGTCCGTCAATTTTGCTACTTCAGTTGGGCTTTGCGAGGGGAAATCTTTAGGGAGTCTGGAAGACACGATGTTCGTTCAGGGAGAAGAGCAAAACCTTGAGGAAGAAGATGACTTCGACTCCAAGTTGGAGAGCTTTCTGGGCTTCAGGAAGGAAGACTTTTTAAGGAAGCTGAATTTATCAGGCGTGCCGCAAGAACACAGAAAGGTTCAACCTCCTCAGTTCATGATGGATCTCTATAACAAATACGCATCTGATAAGACTTCCATCCCTCGGTCGGATGTCATCCGAAGCTTCATCATACAGGGTAAGTGTCTCTAAGGTGGATGCAATTTTCACGCCACTTGTATATGAGTGAAAAGCTGTATTAATCTCTATTTTCTGTTCTTTACAGATGTTATTTATTCCGTCCGACACGGCAACAAAACTCGACACGGGCTCCTATTCAACGTTTCCATCCCAAATCATGAGGAGATCACATCAGTCCAGCTGAGGCTGTTCACTCTCTGGGAAAGAAGTAAAAGCACCTGCGCTGACCAATTCACATCCATTCATGTTTACGGCGTAGAATACAAGCAGGATGCGGACGTTTTACAGCTTCTGGATGGGAGAGACGTCACTGAGGCCAGAAACACATGGGAGGCTTTCGACGTGACCAGCGCCGTCAGGATTTGGCAGGATTCTGGACGCGGGGCGGGTGAACTCCAGGTGGAAATCCAACAAAACTGTCAATCTCTTGGCATAAGCACGGGTTTAGAGGACAACGGCTCGGCGGTCGTAATAGTTTTTTCGGATGATCTCGGGAACAGAAAGGGAGAGTCGATGAATGAGGTCAAAGAGATGCTTCTTCATGAGAAGGAGCGGATATTTGTGGAAAATCATGTTCCTGTGGACAAGCACCCCAGGAAGAAGAGGAAAGCAAAGAACAATTACTGTCGGAGAACTTCGCTGAAGGTGAACTTCAAAGACATCGGATGGGATAAATGGATCGTGGCTCCACCTGAATATGACGCTTATGAGTGCAAAGGGGTGTGTTATTTCCCCCTGACAGATGACGTAAGCCCCTCCAAACATGCAATCATCCAAACTCTGGTTAACCTGAGCAATCCCAAAAAGGCAAACATGGCTTGTTGCGTCCCAACCAAGCTGGACCCAATCGCCGTCATGTACCAAGAAAGGGGTGTCATCACGGTCCGACACCTGTACGAGGAGATGAAAGTAGCAAAGTGTGGATGTAGGTAGTGTTCGGCTGCTCACCCATTCATCTGTCAAATAACAGCATTCGTTTTATCATTCCCATCTGCCGTTTTGGGCTCCCCAAAGAACCTTGCAATGAACCGTTCTTAAAAGTGAAGAACATTTGAATAACCTTTTTTCTGTTAAAGGTTCTTCACGGAACCATAAATGCCAATAAAGAACCTTTTTTAAGAGTGTAGCATAATTAAAAAGTGCTTTTAATATAAAAGAGCTTCTTGAGGTTAAAGTCAGCTTCCATTATAAAGCCAATATAATGCCACTTATATTTGCAAAAGAATAAAGTATTGAGCAGAAAAAAGTAGTTTTGCTAACAAAAATAAAGAATTGCAGAAGAAAAATAAAGTAATGAGAGAGAAAAACTAAGTTTTGCAAACAAAAATAAAGAATTTAAGTAGTGCAAACATAAATATATAATTAATTGCAAAAATCAATAACAGCTGTAAAAGAAGCTTAAAGATCCCCTGTAGTCAATTATTTTATCCCTTAAAACTTAAAATGACGTATTTAATAGTTTTTTCCTCGAAACACATTTCTTCATGTCTTAAAATAGCTTGAATGTAACTCGACACCCTTGCCTCATTTAGTATACGTGGTTCTATGAATATGCAAATGAGCCCCGCCTCCACTCACTCACTCAGCTCAGAGATCCACTGGTTGACGATCACACGTTGATCTGATTGGTTACAAGGTGTGTGACGTCAGAAACACCAGCGATTTCAAACCGTGTTTTATGTTGACATGAACTTGCACATGGTTTGTCTTAAAGCATATTAAAACACCACACAGACACATAAACAACATTAAAAGCTGGATTTTCACCACAGGGGGACTTTAAGAACTTTGATCCTATTTTACTTGTGTAGAAAGTAGCCTCAAAGACTAATAATAAACTCCACTTTAACTGATTGCTGCATCTGTTGCAGAGATAAAATAGGATCAGCTGTCATTGATTTTTTTTTACAGCTGTCATTGATTTTTATTTGTACACTTTATTTCTCACAATTCTTTATTTTTGTTTGCAAAACTTGTTTTTTCCTCTCTCAATACTTTATTTTTCTTTTGCAATTCTTTATTTTTGAATGCAAAACAACTTTTTTTCTCAATACTTTATTTTTCTTTTGCAATTCTGTATTATTGTGTGCAAAATAAATTCTTCTTTTTTTTTTTTTGCTCAATACTTTAACTTTCTTTTGCAAATCGTTATTCTCTTTTGCAATGCTTTTTTCTTTTGCAAACAAATGTGGCATTATATTGACTCCATAATTCTGTTTTCATTTCACTTACGTCGACTAGCTGAGGACATACCCAGGGGCGTTTCTAAGATTTGGCTGTATAACCAAAACATCAGGGGCGATATTCCCCCTTAGAGATTTTTGTTTTACATTTTAATACAGCAACACACTCTACACAAGTATGCAAAAACAGATGTCAGTGCTTGCCCAGTGCACTGCAAGCATGCGGTCCAGTTGTACATACTAGTAAGAAACCTCAAGGTGGCGATAGGGTAACACCCACAAATGATGTGGTCTTTCTCAGGCAGAAAGCTGTAAACATGTTTCTAAGATCTACCCTGTTATTAAAAACTGCAATAGTAATAGAAGCCGCTGACAGTGTGACGTGTACTTGCATGTACTTTGTATTTGTTTCAGGTCTAAATCTGCAAAGTTTCAAAGCATTTTAAACCTATACCTAGTTCTTTAGTAATGTTGTCTTCCTGCCTCGGGACTACAGGTGAAAATTAGCATTTATGCTATAACCTGGCTCATTTACAGTCTGTACAGAAATGTTAAGATTGTTTATTAATGTGCACTGTCCCGAATAAATAAATAAAATAAATAAAAAATAATGAATTAAAAAAAGTATATATGGATGGGGCATAATGAGAATTTAGCTAGGGCCAATGCCCCTGTGGTCCCGCTTCAAGATTGACCTATTCTGGGTAGTTCCAGACAAAAATTATCAGGGAAATGCTCATATACAACAAACAAAACTTACGCAATACCTCCCACTAGAGTTCCAGAACGAAACATTCAGGGCTTGAGCACTTTTGACGCTTGTGGATATAACTTTGTATTCTTTCTTCCTTTTGTACAACCGGCTCTCGAATTATTTTTCTTTCTTTTTTTTTCCATTAATTTTATTATTTTTCTCCCCCCACAAAAAGATTTGTATATAATCCATTGTATGTCCAGCATATATATTTACATACAAAATATTTTGTTTTACAATGATGTAATTTGATTTACATTTTATCAATAAAGTCCAAAAATTATTTGATTGCAAGAAATCATGCATCAAAGTAATTCCAGTTTGGGCTTTCCTAATACATTTTATAGCAAGCCAAGCTCATTGTGGTGTGTGGTGAGTGCTTGCTTTCTGCTGCTGGTGGAGCTTTGCAGTCAGGTAAGCAATTGGAACTGGTACATTGTTTTGTAATAGCTTAAAATGCCTGTAACATTCATTAGATCTTAACAAATACTAGTCGCATGATCCTCAAATGATAAACAAAATAATGGAATTTATAAAAGCACAAACTTCATAGGATTTGCATGGTTCTGGTAAATTTCAGACATAGTGAGGAGGACGTTTTTGTGGAATTATATATATAAAAAAAAAATGAAAAAGCGTAGCAATACTTTTCAGGGACAGATATTCATGCGAACCTGTTTTTATCTCCAGCTCAGAAACATTTTCTCCCATCAGATACACTGCACAAAACTCGTCATCTTAAAATGAGATTCCCAATCTCTGATTGGCCACATGGAATCATCAGACAGAATTGCATAAGACTGAGCATTAAAAGATAAAGCAAGATTAACAGTGCAGCACCAATTAGTGTTGAGTGAATGTGGGGTTACATAATTTCATTCTGTAAAAGTGGCAAGGGCCTCTAAATTCACACTAATGCTCTAATATTTAGACAAATGATAGAAAATAATGAAGCGGTGAAATCTGTAAGAAGATTAAAAAAAACAATAACTATTCAGTAACGTACAGTTAATAAATGAGCCTCTTTTAGAAAAAGTGTAATGCTCTGATGTTATACAATCAAAGCCATTGTCTAAATTGCCTGGTAAGAAATATATGTTATGGTTTGTGGTGTTGCATATACAAATGCATTTCTATCCTGGTGTTTATTTAACAGTCACCTGTTCAGCAGTGTAATCACATCATTAGCCTGACCCAGACGTCACCTTTGAAAGCTTGACCTTATTTCCCTCATGACGACAGGGCTGACAGGACTATAATCCAAAAGCAAATGTGTAAAGAGACACATTTACTGGAAAATAATCCCCTTATCAAATATTTTTAATGTTCTAATGCTTAAAATGTTTCCCCTGTCATGGTCAAAAACATTGAGATGATTGCACTTTATTTTACATTACATACACTTATGTGTACTTATACTGACCTAAGAAAGTACTGGGTATATTATAAGGTAACCACATCAGTAAAGGTTAGGTTCAGGGTCAGTACCTAGTTATTACCCAGTTATTGTAATTACTATAATAAGTGCATAGTATGTACATGTGGAACAGGACTGTATAATAAAATGCTACCATTGAGACCAAATACAAAAAAGACAGATGCACCAATAAATACACAGTACTTAAACATTTTGCCTTCCATAATATGATTTACTTATCTTCCAAACAAACATCATATGTACCAAAAATCCTCATTTACTCTCATGTAATTCTAAACCTCTTTCTTCTGTGAAACAACAGATATTTTGAAAAAACTGTTTGTTTAAAAAAAAAAAATCCCAAGACATTGTTTGTGTGTTCCACGGATGTAAGTAAATGAGTAAGCAAATGATATTTTTTGGTTAACCGTCCCTTTAAGTCACGATGAAGCTGTGCATTTAGAGAGATTTTATATCCTCTCCAACATTTTCCATATTTATTGATTTTGATCTGTCAATGTCTTGCTGATGCACTGCAGATAATGCGATTAAAGGTTTATTCAGAGCAAAAGCCTCTTATGTGGTTGCTGTTGTCAAAAACCTGTTCTATCTGCCAAAGGACCACCAAATGAATGGACAAAAACCTCTGGCTCAGACTAAATTCGACAACCAACGGCAAAAGATGGCAGGGACTGTAAGGGTTTTTGCCCTGATCATAGTCGCTTGTCAGGTTCTGTTCATCGGTGCATCATTTCAGTCTGCGCTTGTCTTGGATATGGCTAAAATTCTGCTTGACAACTATTGCTTCCCAGAGAATCTAGTCGGTATGCAGGAGGCAATCCAACAGGCTATAAGCAGCGGAGAGATCCTACACATCTCCGATCGGAAAACACTGGCATCAGTCCTGACTGCGGGCGTTCAGGGTGCACTCAATGACCCCAGACTGAGTGTGTCTTACGAGCCTAATTATACTCCGATCACGCCACCTGCACTTCAGTCGCTGCCTACTGAACAGCTGATACGGCTAATCAGGAACACGGTTAAACTGGAGGTGATGGATAACAATGTTGGCTACCTGAGGATTGACCGTATTATAGGTCAGGAGACTGTGTCAAAACTGGGACGCCTCCTTCACGACAACATCTGGAAGAAGGTTGCGCATACGTCAGCGATGATCTTTGATCTCCGTTTCAGCACAGCGGGAGAGCTCTCCGGTCTCCCATACATTGTTTCCTATTTTTCCGACTCTGAACCACTTTTGCACATCGACACAATCTATGAGCGACCCACTAACGCCACGAAGGAGCTGTGGACGATGCCGACCCTCCTGGGGGAACGATATGGGAAAAGAAAAGAGCTGATCGTTTTAATCAGCAAGCGCACCATTGGTGCGGCTGAAGCGGTTGCCTACATCTTAAAACATCTCAAAAGAGCTGTCGTTGTTGGAGAAAGGTCGGCCGGAGGCTCTGTTAAGGTTGACAAGTTAAGCGTTGGGGACTCTGGGTTTTATATCACGGTCCCGGTTGCTAGATCTGTGAACCCTGTAACAGGACAGAGCTGGGAAGTGAACGGGGTTTCGCCATCCGTCACAGTCAACCCGAAGGAAGGAGTTGCCAAAGCCAAGTCCCTCATTGCCATCAGGAAAGCACTACCGAAAGCAGTTAAAAGAGTGTCAGACATCATTAAGCGATTTTATTCGTTTAAAGATAAAATCCCTGCTTTGCTAAATCAGCTCGCTAAAACAGACTTTTTCACAGTGGTTTCTGAGGAGGACTTGGCGGCGAAACTTAATTATGAGCTGCAGACCGTCTTTGAAGACCCTCGTTTAAATATCAAGACAATGCAAGGGTTGTCTAACAATGGCCTGGATGCAACACCAGAAGACCATTCATCTTTTGATAATCTTATTGATCCATTATTCAAGTTGGAAATTCTCTCGGGAAACAATGGATATCTGCGTTTTGACAGGTTCCCAACACCCACCATTTTGATAGGACTAGAGGATCGAATCAAAGAGAAGGTCTGGCAACCTGTCAAAGACACGGAGAACTTGGTCATCGATCTGCGCTATAACACCGGCGGATCCACCGAGGCCTTGCCAATTCTGCTTTCCTACATGTTCGACATCTCATCAAACACTCACCTCTTTTCGATCTACGACAGCATCCGGAACATGACCGCTGATTTCCACACCCTCCGTAACATCAGCGGGCCTTCCTATGGTTCTAGAAAGGGTATTTATATTTTGACAAGCTATTACACAGCAGAAGCTGGAGAAGAGTTCGCTTACCTGATGCAGTCCTTGCACCGAGGCACTGTTATAGGGGAAATCACCTCTGGAACACTCCTTCACTCCAAAACTTTTCAAGTTGAAGAAACGAACCTTGCCATCACTGTCCCCATCATAAATTTCATTGATATAAATGGGGAATGTTGGCTTGGAGGCGGTGTGGTTCCCGATGCCATCGTGCTTGCTGAAGATGCAGTTGAGCGAGCTCATGAAATCATTGCGTTTCACAAGGATATTCAGGCTTTGGTGCAAGAAGCTGGAGATCTCTTGGAAAAACATTACACTGAACCTGAGGTTGCAGCTAAAGTGAGTCGACTGTTACGGTCCAAACTAACCGAGGGACTGTACCGGTCAGTTGTTGACTATGAATCTCTTGCATCTCAACTCACTGCAGATCTCCAGGAGACCTCGGGTGACCACAGACTGCACATTTTCTACTGCGAAATTGAATCCCTTCATGACATCCCCAAAATCCCTTCCCCTGAAGAGGTCGGGTTCATCATTGATGCCCTGTTCAAAGTAGAGGTAATGTCTGGAAATATTGGCTATTTGAGATTCGACATGATGGAAGACATAAAGGTTGTGCGAGCAATTGGTCCTCAGCTCATCAAAGCTGTTTGGAACAAGCTGGTGAACACAGACATGCTCATAATTGACATGAGGTATAACACGGGTGGCTATTCCACGGCTATTCCACTCATTTGCACCTACTTTTTTGATGCACGACCCTTGAAACACCTTTACACTGTTTTTGATCGCTCCACAACAACTGTGACAGAGGTTATGACCCTTCCAGAAGTGCTAGGACAGAGGTACGGCTCTCAGAAAGACATTTATATCCTGACAAGTCACATAACTGGATCAGCCGCTGAGGCATTCGCTAGAACAATGAAAGACCTGAACAGGGCCACTGTAATTGGAGAGCCCACTATCGGAGGCGCCCTCTCAAGTGGAACGTACCAAATTGGGAATAGCATCCTATATGCTTCCATTCCCAACCAGGCGGTTTTGAGTGCAGTTACTGGAAAAGCATGGAGTGTGTCAGGGATTGAACCACATATAGAAGTTCAAGCAAATGATGCACTTAATCTTGCCCAGAAAATAATTGGCAAAAAACAACAAAAGAAAAATTCTGGGAAATAGAACTAGAGGCTTCGTTATTCTTTTCGTCTTCTTTATTTTAGAGTAAAACTGTCGAAACATTGTCGAAAGGATTTAAACTTTGTTATTTTAATGTTTTATGTGTATGTAATAAAAATTAATGTACGTTTTTTAAAGCTATGTCTGGCATATTTCTGAAATTGTTCACCAGAATGCTCTTTTGATGATGTGCTTTTGTATACTCATACTAATGTAAAAACAGACATGCTATAGAATAAAATAAAAAAGAAGACATCAGTAAATGTTTCCTTTGTATACCTTTTAGCCACTGAAATTACAACAAAATGTTATTTGATACACGTGAATTGAATTTCCTTTCTACAATACTGTATTTAAGAAACACTCTTACAAAGGTAAATATAAATAAATACCATTCATTTAACTACAAGTGCTTCATTTTATTGTAACATGTAACGTACATTTTTGCTTGCTATTTTCTAACTGAAGAACTTTGGCTAATGAGATTAAGGTTTTATTGTGAGGGAAAGCTTCTTATGCATGTGTTAACAGAAACCTGACTGTAGAAGCAGACTCAGTTGACAAACCTCTCTGCAGAAGGAGAGTTCAGTTGCGCCGTATTAGCAGGAATCCGAAACCTGCCAAAATGGCTCAAGCTGTAGTTCTACTAGCGTCGTTGTTGATCTTCAGTAATGTGGCTCACTGTGCTTTCTCCCCAACACTTATTGTGGATATGGCAAAAATACTCATAGACAACTACTGCTCTCCAGAAAAACTCGCCGGTTTGGAAGAGGCAATTGACGCTGCGAGTAGTAACACGGAGATCCTCGGCATTTCAGACCCTGCCATCCTTGCCGCTGTTCTGGCTGATGGGGTTCAAAAAACGATTGGTGATTCCAGAGTGAACGTCACATACGAGCCAGGTTTCGTTCCTGCAGTACCGCCGGCCATGCCTGACATCCCACCGGAGCATCTGGCCGCAGTGATCAAAGCCACGGTCAAAGTTGAGATCCTGGATGGCGACATTGGCTACCTGAAGATTCAACACATCATTGGTGAGGAGATGGCTCAGAGAGTTGGACCTCTTTTGCTGGAGTACATCTGGGACAAAGTGCTCCCAACATCTGGCATGATTCTTGACTTCCGCAATGCTATCAGTGGTGAGATATCCGGAATCCCATATATTGTGTCTTACTACACTGATCCTGAGCCATTAATCCACATTGATTCGGTGTACGATCGCACGTCCGACCTCACCATAGAGTTGTGGTCCATACCGACCCTGTTGGGGAAAAGATATGGAACCTCCAAACCCTTGGTCATTCTGACAAGCAAGGATACTCTTGGGGTTGCAGAAGATGTTGCTTACTGCCTTAAACACTTTAAAAGGGCCACAATCGTTGGGGAGAAAACAGCTGGGGGAACTATGAAAATGGACAAAATCAAGGTGGGTGACACCGACTTCTATGTGTCTGTGCCAGTTGCTAAGTCTATTAACCCCATCACTGGCAAGAGCTGGGAAATCACTGGAGTGGCACCAGATGTTGAAGTTGCTGCAGAAGATGCGCTTGATGCTGCCATTGCAATCATTAAACTTCGTGCTGAAATCCCAGGGTTGGTTCAGGCGGCAGCCACACTGGTTGCAGACAACTATGCATTTCCAAGTGTCGGGGATGATGTCGCTGAGAAGCTGGGAGCTGTTGCATCCAGTGGGGAATACAAACTGATCTCCACAAAAGAAGAACTGGAAGTAAAGCTCTCAGCGGACCTCCTAAAACTGTCAGGGGACAAATGCCTGAAGACCACCAGCAATATTCCTGCACTTCCTCCAATGGTAAGTCATTATATGCACTACTTTTTTTCTTTTTTCTTTTTTTTTTTTGATATATAACAATTCAGAGATATGTTGGTTGTTGAGGCAAAATTATGAATGAGAATTTTTCTTCAACTTCCAGAATCCCACACCCGAGATGTTCATTGAGCTCATCAAAGTTTCATTCCACACTGATGTATTTGAAAACAACATTGGTTACCTTCGCTTTGACATGTTTGGAGATTTTGAGCATGTTGCTGCCATTGCTCAGATCATTGTGGAACATGTCTGGAAAAAAGTGATTGACACTGACGCGCTGATCATTGATCTGAGGTGATTATTGTATTGTATAGTTGTTTCTCGCTCTGTAAATCCAGCTAACCAGTTCTGAATGAAATTCAATAATGTACACATTTTTAATCCACCGGCTTTGACCATAATTTGATATTACGATAAATTTTGTTATTATAATTTTCTTTCAAGGAACAATGTTGGTGGACCTACCTCTTCTATCGCTGGCTTTTGCTCATACTTCTTTGATGGTGACAAGCAGATTGTGCTGGACCATGTTTATGACAGACCCTCCAATACCACAAGTGATCTTCTGACCCTTACACAACTTACAGGTACATTACTAAACTGACTATACATATTTAACTTTTTGTGCAGACCAGTTTCAATAAGTATCTTTTTTGATCTAAACACAAAAAAAATGCTGTGTCCTGAAGTAGATTATGTGTTCCCAGACAGCAACATAGTGTCGGCCCAGATCCGGCCCACATCTGGTACGCGTTGAATCCGCATGTCCACTATGTTGCTGTCTGGGTTGTATATTGTTATATGCATATTTCATGCTACAAAATTAAGTGTGCAATTCTACTCTATCTAGGCAAGAGATATGGCAGCAAAAAGAGTTTGATAATCCTCACCAGTGGTGTGACTGCTGGAGCTGCTGAGGAGTTTGTTTTTATCATGAAAAGGCTGGGACGTGCAATGATCATCGGTGAGACAACCCTTGGAGGTTGTCACCCCCCAGAGGCCTTCTGTGTGGGCGAAAGCGATATCTTCCTGTCTATTCCCATCAAGCACTCGGACGCTGCTCAGGGTCCGGCCTGGGAGGGTGCTGGCATTGCCCCACACATCCCAGTGCCCGCTGACGCTGCCCTCGACACAGCCAAGGGCATCCTCTATAAGCATTTTTCCGGCCAAAAATAAGTCGTTCATCTGGGCCTGTTACGGAAGCCAAATTATATAGCAAATTAGTTATTTAGATTAAGGATGACATTTTTTGTGTAGATTATTAAGGTAATGTTTAGACAGTACAAAGTTAAGCCTTCTTTTGCTAGTTCAAATCTTTTTCTATTTTTCTGTATTATTTCTAACCCATCCAATCTAAAGCTTGCGATCTCTAAAAGCAAACTTGAGGATAATGCAGGTAATATTCTCCAAGTGATATTCAGATTAGCCCTGGTCTGAACTTGAATATAAGTGTTGGGTACAGTACTTTGTGTACTAGTTTACTTTGTACACATTACAATGTGTTCATGCTTGTATATGCTTGTATTGTAAACATCTACTCATGCATATATATAAAAATAATTAAAAAAAGATGAAAATTGTTTTGTTTGAAATGCTACTTAAATCTATTTGTGGGAAATCGCAATTGAAACCAAATGATAAAACTTAATAAATACTGTATAAAACTAGGGTAACACTTTACAATAAGGTTAATTTATTAAACATTAGTTAATGTATTAACTAACATGAACTAACCATGAGCAATACATTTGTTACTGTTTTTGTTAATCTTTGTTAACGTTAGTTAATACAAATCCAGCTGTTCATTGTGTGTTCATGTTAGTGCATTAACTAATGTTAACAAGATTTTAATTAAGTATTAGTAAATGTTGAAATTAACATTAACAAAGATTAACAAATGCTGAAGAAGTATTGTTCATTCTTAGTTAATGTTAACTAATGTAGTTAACTAATGAACCTTATTGTAAAGTGTTACCAAAATTAGTTTAGCAAATATAAACCAATTCCAGACATACGCGTGAAGGTTTAAGATTATTTACCTCTACTTAAAATAACTACTTGCAATCTCAACTCATTTTTTAAATCACAGTTAGAACAAAAACACACTTAACCACACAGAATATAAGCAAAAACACTGTTTAGGCCTATATTTGGTAAGTCTACAATGCACTTTTTGCTGTATGACCGTCATTACAAAACTATGTACATGTATTTACTGCACCTTTTCTTTTAGAAATGATCATCAAGAACCAGAAGATGGCAGCATATCTTCTTCATCCAGCATTGGACCAAAGCATGCTGTCAAATATTGCCATACCTAAAGTTTCAATTATGTAGCACCTTTTGTCAACAGGACTTTAACAGGAATAAATTATCTTCAAAACACTATAGTGTAATGGCGGGGGTCAACAAGTTAGAGGTCAACAATAAAAACTGATTTCTGTATGAAGTTTTGTGTTAACATTGCTCGTTATCAGTTATGTTTTGGGCACGGTCATGCTGGTTTTGGCCGGTTAGTTATACTACACTGGTCATGGTGGTTTAACTGCTACAACAGCAAGCAGAACCAATGGCAGTAATATACAAGCATCTAAAACCAGATAAATAAAACAAAATATTTCACAATAACATGATCCAGTGGTCTAAGCAGCTCAACAATTACGACATCAAGTTTATATGAGGAATTCGAATGAGTTCACATGAGTTCGTCATTCAGTCTGCTATTATGTTCAGTATTACCTTGCACTTCGGTTTATATTAGCTTCAGCCGGTCACATGTTGCGGAGTGTGTTAGGTGTTTTATTAAAGTCCCCATGAAATCAAACTTTAAGTTTTTTGGCTTTTAGAGTGAATGTTAGCCTTATTGTTATCTATATGTGCTCCAAAACAATGACAAAATTCACATTTAGAAGATATAAGCAATCAAAACTTACAGTCTGCCGATATGGATCAGTGATTTTGATGACATCACTCTGCACTTCTTCTCATCAGATTTTCTTTATTTGGGGACTTTTTGCCTACACTAGTGCACTGAGTAGGCTACTGTGAATTCAGACATACTTCTTTCGTCACAAACTTTTTTTCGCCTACTATATAGTAGCCATGTGCGATTTCAGATGCAGCCTTGGAGATTTGGCATAAAAAGCCACTCAGGCTTAACGCCACCTACATCGATGTAAACTGCTGACAGGGCAGAAAGGGGAAAATTAATAAATAAAAATGTTAATTAATTAATTAATTAATCTTGACCCAACACTTGGAAATTGCACTTAGATAATTGTGGTTTATACTAGAATAAGAAATAAAGTCATACTGGTAAGCCTTTTGTAAAATGTTTAAAAATAAAATATTTTTCTACTCTAGTTTTCATTTTCTGTTTTATTTTATTATCGTCAAAAGCAGACAAAAGACAAAACAGCGAAAAACACATATTTTGCATATCCAAAAGAAAGGGAGGAAACCTTCAAGGAGCAGGAGAAGAAACTGCCCCAATTTTTTCCTACAAGGGTAGAAATTTGACACCAGATCCTCTGCCAACTCTGAGCCTGGGCTCTTTTCTCAAACGACTCAGTCTTTGCTTTGCACATTTACATTAAATAGCTTTCAAGCGCTTGGGGAAAAATACATCTAGCCTTTTTACACGTGGATTTCGTGCGTCAACAGTTCTTCAAAGCTCCCCAAAAAACAGCAAAGTGGCCCGTGTTTTATATAAAAACACTAAACACAAATTTGGAAACAGTTTTTTGTTTTTTTTCTGTGGTGTTTTTTCCCTGGACATCGGCTTTCTGTGCATTGCATTTTGGGAATAGCGTGTCTTATCTGAAGTTTTCAGACTGATGTGAGTGAGTAAGGACTGCGTCAACATCCGCAAAAACTCCTCTTCTTTGTGTGCATCCTTCCCTCAGGATCTCAGCCTCAGCAGAGGCTCATTTCAAGCTAGATATTAAAGATAATGTGAATGGCCATTTGTTTGACTGAGGATTGATGTTTTTGCAATAAGAAACGATGGCACATTCAGTCGTAAAAATGTGTCTCGGTGTGCTTTTCTTTGGACTTTTGTTGTTCACGCTTCCTTCTGCGGGAGCCGAAGAAGATGTGGAGGAGGAGAGATCATGTCAAGGCGCTTTCGACTTGTATTTTGTCCTTGACAAGTAAGTAACAGTTATAATTCCATCGTTTTGCTCATTGTTTTGAAACAAAGAGTCAATCTCTCTCTCTCTCTCTCTCTCTCTCTCTCTCTCTCTCTCTCTCTCTCTCTCTCTCTCTCTCTCTCTCTCAAACTTAAAGGAAAGATATCTGTAAGTTATATCTTTAATCTCTTTGGTTTTGCAGCTGGTAAACTGTCTGCTCTTCAACATAAACCCGTCAATCACATTTAAAGGCAACATGATCTATATGAAGTGCAAATGTTAGGGATGCTTTTGGTCTGTTGGCCTGATGTTTTCCACATACTGCCTGGATAAAGTAGGCCAGTACATTTCCACTCACATCCTCCGTATTTTCCCCCAAACATTCCGAATCACCAAAATAGATATTCACCAGATGTCCATTGTTTGGTATCACTTGGCTGGGTTCAATTAGAGTTCAGGGAGAAATGCTGTGCCGTGCAGTTTTACATAAAAACAAAACAAATTTTTTTTTATTTTTTTTTATTGTATGGTATCAGTGGTTCCATTTTAAAATCAATGGAACCTTTCCATTCCACAAAAGGTTTTGTATCGTGGAAAAATATTTTTCAGATTAATAGTGTTCTTTGTGGAACCTAAAATGGATATTCTATGGCATTGCTGACATTGCTTATTTCCAAGAGTGTAGACAGTGACAGTTTGCAGAAGTCATCCGGTTTATTTTTGTATTGTGCCAACTTGTTGATTTGTGTGTGTGTAATGATGAGCAGAGGGGTGGTACATGTGAAGTTTGCTGAATAAGCACTTCAGTCAGTCACAACTTCATTCCTCTGTGGTTCTCTTTTCCTGCCTCTTGTCCTTCACCATTGTTTAACAGACTACATCCTTTCCCATGATCTGTGTCGGTCTGGGAAGATTCTTTACAGGATGTTTAATCCAATTGCACATTTATTTACATTAAACACCTTTTTTTGTACGTGTGACTTTGAATGCAAATGTTAGTTATCCTGCCAATTATGAGACTCCCATTATAATGTGTGGGTTGTCTAAACAGCATTGATCTCATATTTATTTGTTTAGTTGTTTTTTTGGATGTTTTAGTTCGTTTTAATATTCCTTAATTGCTATGAAGGACATAGAGTTGAAGTATGAACATACATAGAGTATGAAGGACATAGACTTTATTCCTAGTTGACGGCTCTGTAATGAAAGGATGGTGATATTCTTTGACTATGCGTCAGTAAGCATTTAGGGAATATTAAATGAATATACTGCTATCAAATATGTTAGTTATTTTAGTTTTTACACATCAGAAACCAGTAAATGCATCATAAATCCTTGTTCATGTGTCATGCAACATGCTCTGGAAGTGTTCAGGTGAGAGCAAGCAAAAACATCTCATACGAGGTCCCAGTTTTTCCCATGATGTGATGGCAGGAGACATAGCCAACCCCAACACCCCCCTTTTCCTCTTTACAGACTTCGGAAAAACTGACATTTAGTAAAATCACATGCACATGAACATCTGCAGCCCTCTAAGAACATTACAAGCCTTCAACAATTTAAGCAATTTCATTTGCATGCATTATTCAGTATTTTTAATCACTGTGCCGTTGCGTGCATAGAGGTCACATCACCGAATGAGGGCAAGTTGAAGTATCAAAGCATCACAAGCAACAGCTGTATTGCACAAGAGTTTCTGGCTTCAGGTCCACCATTATTGGGCTTCTGGATCTGTTTTTGAGGAATCTGATTTTTTTTTTAAAGTATTATTTTGACATCTTACCTCAAAAGTCCCAATCTTAAACTTTATGGTCATTGACACTCAAATATTTTGGAATCTTAGACTTTTTTTTACTAAACACTATTATTATTGGCCAAAACATAATGACTGATGGCCAACTGACCAAAAGATTGCTTCATTCCTCTTATGTAATGTGAATCATTTCGGAAAGTCCCGCTATATATATATCAATGGAATATTGGTTACACAATTAGCAAATGTGGGGCTAAAAAAGGACCAGATACACAAATCGACCTCCGGATTGTTCTTCTAGTCTGGCATCATTGCTTCCACTTCTACTTTCATGTGGCCCAAAGGCGTTCTGGGAAGTGCCAGCCTTGGGTAGTGATTCAGAATCAGTCTACCAGCCCATGGCCTGCTGTTTAACAAGTGGAATAAAACAAAGAAGTTGTCCGTGGGAATGCTTAGCGTGGTATTTGCACTGCAGCCCTCAAGCCAGACGTCCTTAGAGGAACTGAACTCTTGAGATTTTTGCTGGTGTAACTTTAGAGGTTTAAAGAGATAGTTCACCCAAAAATGACAATTATGTCATCATACTCACCCTCTTGTCTGCCTAAACCGGACTTTCTTTCTTCTGTGAAACACAAATGATATTTAGAAAATCTTTATAATGGACAAAACTTCTTGTCCATATAATGCATTGATGTAGCTTACACAGGGTTATGGTTTTGATTCCCAGGGAAATGCTTGAACTAATAAAATGTATCTTTTGAATGCAATGTAAGTTGCTTTGGAGAAAAGCATCTGCCAAATGCATGAATGAAAGAAAGCCAATAAAGTGCTTAACGGCATAACATTGGCTTTCATTGTGTATACAAGTCGTCATATAGGTTTGAAAAGACATGAGGGTGAGATTTTTGAGCCGTTGCTATACGACCCTTGAGATTGTATTGTCCCAATCGTCCATCAACAATCCTGGTCTGATTTACTTCATCTTCATAAATGTTTTGAAACAACACTGTGTTAATCATAGTTTTGCTTACAGTAATTGCTGTTTAGCTTAAGATAACCCAGGCATTGAGTCATCTGTTTTAAAACATCCAGGATAACAGCTGTATAGGATGCCAATGATTCATTAATGTCAGTCCCTTCTCTGAGAGCCATGTCGCGTTTTCCCAATGCACTCAAATTCAGCTTTACCTGCCGGTAAAGGTCCTGGAACAGTTTTAGGAGACATGCATTCCTAGTTAAATGTTATCACACACCACAAATATGCTTTCTGGATGCAGACCAGAAACTGCTGTGAAGTTTACACAGGGCGTAAAAAGTATTCGGATATGCTAAATGGCTTGTGTTTTCAGACCAGAACCGAAAACTGAAAGACTAAAATCGTAGATAAAGCGTAGGCTCACATCATGCCCAGCGCAGATCTGAAGCTAAGTGTGGGTTAGTGGTTTTCAAAGCCCAGTCAGTTGAACTGGAGTGCAGTCATTCATCGTCCTAGGATGGGATGCACTACGCAAATATGAACATTTAAATCTTTCGATGGGTTTTTCCTCTTGAAAAAAACGATTAAAAACAAAAAATTTAACTGACAATATTTGGTCAGTGAATTAGACCCACACCTATTCTTTCAACTGCATGCCCCCTTTCCAAAACCCCGCCTTCCAAAGTCATGTCAGCCAATCCAATGTCTGCAAACATGAATGAGTATAAAATGATTGACGGGCAGAGAGTGCTTCTGTAAATTAATGCATACCAAAGTATGGGTTAATAAATCTTCAGTTCAGTATTTCCAGTAACTTATTAAGGGTGATGTCATTTTTTATTTTCCATTGGAAAAAGAGCTTGTAGCGACATTTCTGCAAACTATTGTTTTGCTGCACTTTCGATGTAAAATGTCCAGCGAGTTGCACCAAAAGAGGGTTCAGTTTCATCCAAAACAGATGAATGTGAATCTGGCAGCGTTTTATGTTGGTTGTTGTAATTTATTGATGCAGCTCGGAAATAAAATGTCTGGCAAGTGGTGTTAAAAGGTTAATGCTCTATTGCTTTTGAAAATAACGTCCCATCTCGAGACCTAACCGATAGTGTTAACAAAAGCAAATGTGAGGTAAAAATGCATTTGCTGAAGCAACCATGCCATTTTATCTGCTTCTTCAAGTCTTTGAGCTCTTTTATCATGACTTGTGTTTCACGGGACTCGTACCCGAGTGCAATGCTGTACCACCTGATGTACTACTGTACTTCAGAAAAGACACACATATGGAGCTAATTATGTGATGCAAATGCCAAAATGTATTAGTTTACAAATCATGCATGTGGTAAAAGTGTATTGAGGTCATAAAATAGTATAGTGAGACATTTTTTTTTCAAATTAAGTCTTTATAAATCAATAATCTGCCCCTGTAATCATAATTTACCTGAAAAGGAATGGAAGTTGTCTGTGATTCACTGCCACTAGTGTTTATTTCAGCTGGAAACAGCAGTGAATCGCATGTATAGGTACGTTTTTGTAGTGTTTCAGGAATGTACACTATACCGTTCAAAAGTTTGGGTCGGTACGATTTTAAATACTTTTAAAAGAATTCTCTTCTGCTAACCATGGCTGCGCTTATTTGATTAAAAATACAACAAAAATCAGTTATAATATTAAATATTATTCCAGTGTAAATCAGCTGTTTTCTGTGTGAATATATAGTAAAGTGTAATTTATTCCTGTGATCAAAGCTGAATTTTCAGCATCACCAGTGTCAGTGTCTTCAGTGTCAAATGATCCTTCACAAATCAGTATAATATGAGGATTTGATGCTCAAGAAACATTTATTATTATTATCAATGTTGAAACAGTTGTTGGTCTGTCAGTTGTACAGTTTTTTTTTTTTTTGAAATAGAATATTTTATAAATGTCTTTACTGTCCTTGATAAATAAAAGTATTGATTTCTTTCCTCCAAAAAAAAAAAAAAAAATTCTCACTGACCCCAAACTTTTGAACGGTAGTGTATGTTTTATTAACGTAGTTCCTGAGGAACATGTCAAAGGGGCTGTTTACACCTGGCCACTTCATGCGTTTTCTCAGATCTGATTTATCAAAACGATTCCATTTACACCTGGTCACATAAATGTGTTTTTGCAAAACGGATATAAATCCGATCTTCAATTCCCACGCTATATGCAGATTTAATGGAGTGCACGTCAGCGAAAGCAACAGATATGAGCTGCATTTTATTGATCATCAGCTAATTTCAAATCAAAGAGAGCAATAAGAGAGAGCGTTAT